TTGTGTCCAAATAAACTCTTATATCAAACAAAATATTAATTTATATTAAGGGTTTTTTAGATATAAATTAAAAATTAAGAACTTATTTAGATATAAATTAAAAGTTAAAAATTTATTTACATGCAAAATTAAAATCAAGAGTTTATTTGGGTATAATAAAGTATAAAGATTTATTTAGATAAAATGATAAAATTTATAGACCATTTTTTTTATTTTAGAAAAAAAGAAAAAGTTCAAACGAAGTTGTACCATTAGTCTACAAAAATATTATACTACTAGTACTTGGAGGCAATCTCAAGGTTAGGCATTTGTTGGTTTGATCATTTTTTTTCTTTTATTGATTTGAGATATGATTATGATATTTTTTTTATTTAATTTCTTTGAAAAGAGATATTTTGTATGAAAAGAGAAAATTTTGTCTTATCTGGTGGATTTTTTATAAAATTGAAGAATTATTCAAAAATAGAAATTAAAGAGGAAACATCAGATTTTGAGAGAATAAAATATCCTAATAATATAAAATTTTAAAACCGACTGATTTTATTTAGCAAACTTATTTTAATTTTTTCTATCAAAATAAAAGTTTCATTTATCAACTATAGTAATTCTTTTTTTTTTTTTTTAGATTTCCCTATTCGATTTTATTATTCAATGTTCGTTTATTCAAATATTTAAAATAACAATTATATCTTATATTAAAACAAACACTCAAATTCAATTAAAATAAATATTTTGTTAAGAATTCCCACTAGCAATTTTATTATTGCTGTCACTCATAATATTGCTTTCACTCGCTTTTTTTTAGTATGGTTCCACATGCAAATGCCAGGCAGTCTGATTTAATATCAAAAGTTTGAGTAGAGATAGTTTTTCGAAAGGTTTTGTGTTCGGATAATGGCGTCAGTATATCAAGTTAAAGAAATGGCTAACAAAGATGGTAGAGGACCTAATGTATGAATGTTTTTGTCAAAGTTTCAGGTTAAATAAAATGATTTTAATTTGATAAGTTAGTATATAGCAAAGTTTGTTTGTTATATCAAATTCTATTCAGCCTCACCTATGTGATGGAGTTATTATCAATATTATAGTTTAGATAGCTTCCGACATCATCTACGCAATCATCTTCAACCTCATAATTGAGGGTGGTTGCATTCTAAATTTGAGAGTAATAAATCTCATTCCTTATATATTGTATTTGATTCTTGCAGTGCAGCTTTAGTGAAGGGCTCAATTTAAGAGTCATAAATCCCTTTCCTCGTATATTGCATTTGATTCTTGTAACGGGTGGCCAAAAGTACATATGAGAAAAAACCTCAAAAGCTCCAAAACAGTTCTTTACATTCTCAAACAATGTTTGCTATCAGATAAGAATGCTAATTTTGTATATTCTCATTTTTGACATTCAGCAACTCACTTGTGAAGATTTGTTTGCTTATAAAGACATTGAACCGAAGCAAATACGACGTGACTGTGAGGAAGCAAGGAGCAGTGCAAAGAAAAGGGTGATTCGGTCTGAAAAGTGTGATTTGAATTAGCTCACACAGAATTGACAACTTTGACAGCCACAGGCAGAGTCCATGTGCACCATTTTCTCGTGAGTTTTGGCCTGGTTCATTGTTCACGGCTAGCCAGTTGCCATATATTTGTTTGGAAGCATTTGAGCTGCCAAAACAAGTTAAATCCAGTCCAAGCAAACTTTAGGCCTGATATTTACAAACACTAGTAAATAATTATTCTGTTTACATGGTATTAAATTAATTTTTTTATTTTTTAAAATATAAATAATTGCTGTATCATCCTATTAATTTTACTTGTAAATTTTAAAAAATCATTATCAGCCTATCTGATAATCAGTAATAATAATATTGGCCTTGTTAAACTTCAACTGTTTTTGGTAAAATTTTTGTTCAGTTTTGATTAGAATTTCTTTGAGGATTTAGGGATATTTGGAACAGGTAAATTGATAGAAGAAATGACAAATAATCAATAAGTGTATGCACAATCTTTTCCCTGATTTATCAAAAAATTAAAAGCTAAGTTGAAATTAAGACGTTGTTTGATTAACTAAAAAATTAAGTGGTGAATTTTTAATATTGAACTAATTTATGACTCATGTAATGCACAAATTAATTTTACCTATTTTTTTAAATATTAATTTAATCTATTTAAATATGTACATATACGCATAAATTAGCATTTTTTTTAATTGCAGATACCATTTTTTTTTCTTTTTATGTTTATTAGAGATTATAGAAAAATAAAAGTAAGGTAATCATCAAAATTAAAAACAAAAATAAATTTTTTCAATGGTAGATACTGTGTATTTTCTTTTTTATGTTTCTTAGAGATTAAATATTATAAACTCAGTACTATTTGCAATTAAAATAATCAGCAAGTTTAAAACAAAATATGCTTGTAACTTTATCTCCACTTCATGATTCAATATCAAATGACAATATTAAGTATATTATTTGATACGATATTCAATATCAAATGTTGAATATAAGTATATTATTTGATAACTTGAAATGTTAACTAATTTTGAAAATTATTTATTTTATATTTATATTTTTATCTTGATTTTTATTATATGTTATATTATTTCATAAAAAATTATATTTTAATTGATACCTCACAAAATCAAGATATGACGCCACCTTCTTCCCTTCAGAATAATTGAGTAATTGAATTGTTAGAGTCATATCAGAGGCAATCCCAACTGTTTAGTCATTTTTTTCGTTTGATCAAATCTGTTTCTATCAAATTGAGATAAGATTACGATCATTTTTTTAGTTTTTTTTTTTGAATTATCACCTTTTTTTATTTAATTTTATCATATCTGAAAAAATATTTATTTCTGGCATGAAAAATGATATTTTTGTTTTCTCAAGTAGATTTCTCAAGTTTTTATAAAATTGGAGAAACATTCAAAAATACAAGTTAATTAAAATATTCTTTTAGATTTTATTTTATTTTTCAATGTCTCTTTATCCAAATATTTAAAATAAGAACTACATCTTATCCAAAAAATCAAACACTGAAATTCAATTAAAATTAGCTTTAGCCTTTTCAATTCCAATAAAATCCCTCCACACACCTATAAATACACGTTGACAGTGAAGTTTTTTTCACTCAAACAAAACAATAGCTTTGGTCACCATGAAGAGTTTAGTAATCTTATTGTTGTTGTTAATTGCTGTTTTTAGTATTGTTTCACATGCAAATGCTAGTGCATGGCAGCCCCGATTTGACACTGGAGGCTTAAGCAGAGATATCTTTCCAAAAGGTTTTGTGTTTGGAACTGCCGCATCAGCATATCAAGTTGAAGGAATGGCTAGCAAAGACGGCAGAGGACCTAGCATATGGGATGTTTTTGCTAAAGTTCCAGGTTAAATCAAATGATTTTAATTTTAATTTTTACTTTTACTTTTTTTTAAATGTTAATTTTTTTAAAATGTAAAATTTTAAAAGGATATCATTTCATATATGTAACAGGAAATATTAAAAATAATGCTACTGGTGAAGTTTCCATTGATCAATATAATCACTACAAGGTATGATTTTATATCATTTTTATTTCTTATTAATGCAAAGGCTTGGAATTTTTATTTCATTTTTATTTCTTATTAATACAAAAGCTTATAGATTTAAATTAGTCAGGCTTATTTCTTTACTCTTGTTCCGTTTGCAGGAAGATGTTAATTTGATGCAAATGATGAACTTTGATGCCTACCGATTTTCGATCTCATGGCCGAGAATTTTTCCAAGTACATTTACCATCTTCCTTGATTATAAAATTGGCATACACATTTCATTTTTTGATTAATTAATGCTTATATTCATACCTTTATGTAGATGGCACAGGGGAGGTAAACTGGAAAGGAGTTGCCTACTATAATAGATTGATAAACTACATGCTTGAGAAAGGTATATATATTAATTTCAATGTATAAAACACTGAAATTTTGGACCGGGTATATGACATATTGCAGTATTCTAGTTATATTTTTGTAACTGGATGAAATATGTTAACTTTGTTATCCATGTAGGAATCACCCCACATGCGAATTTGTACCACTACGATCTGCCAGTTGCACTTCAGGAGAGATATGGAGGTTTTCTGAGTAAACAAATTGTGTAAGTTGAGAGATAACCTCTTTTTTCAGAGGGAGAAACCATTAACTTAGAAAATTAACTAAATTGTAAAATTAATTTACTATGATATGAATCTTGCAGCAAAGATTATGCTGATTATGCAGAATTCTGTTTCAAGACATTTGGTGATAGAGTAAAGAATTGGTGGACATTCAATGAACCGAAAGTGATTGCTTCTCTTGGATTTGACAATGGCATTAATCCTCCAAATAGATGTTCAAAGGAATTTGGAAATTGTACAGAAGGAAACTCAGCAACCGAGCCTTATATTGCAGCACATCATTTGATTTTAAGTCATGCTGAAGCTTCCAAAAGATATCGTGAAAAATATAAAGTAATGATTATTTTGGAGATTCTCTCAGTCAATTGATTTCTAATCTTGATATATAATCTAATATCTTATTTTAATGATTTTAATGTGCCTTTTCAGGCTGAACAGAAGGGAAGAGTTGGTGTCTTCGCGGACTTTGTTTGGTATGAACCTCTAACAAAATCAAAGGCAGATAACTATGCAGCACAAAGAGCAAGAGACTTCCATATTGGATGGTATAAATCTCTGAATACATACTGACAATGTACAATGTAGTCATCTATGTTTTAATTGTTCAATTAAATAGAATAAATGAAACATTAGGCATCCAGGGCCCCAAAATAGCAAGCTGTCCTATGTTCTCGGATTTCATTATTTTGAAGTATTTTTTCCTGGCACATATCTGGTCCTTATGACTTATTGAAATATATAAAAAAAAATGGAACTTATCAGTACTCATTTAAGGAGGGAATTATTGTCAAATTTATTTTGCAGGTTTTTGCACCCTTTTGTATATGGAGAATATCCAAGAACAATGCAAAAAATCGTAGGAGAAAGGCTTCCAAAGTTCAGCAAAAGTGAACTGGAGATTGTGAAAAACTCTTTTGATGTTCTTGGTCTCAACCACTACACTTCTTACTACATATATGACGCACACCAGCCAAAGACAAATGTGACTGGTTACGAACATGATTGGAATGTTGGGTATGCTTGTAAGTCATCCATCTTTTCCTACTTCATTTACCCAAAAATTTTTCTAGTTGTTTTGATGATATAACATACCTGTTTGTGTTCACTCTAACAGATGAACGTAATGGTGTGCCAATCGGTCGTCAGGTAATCTTTGTGCTTTCCACGTCTTTGCTTCTTAAGCCGTGTTAACACTAATGCACCAAAAAAATTGCAGGCTCACTCTCCATGGATTTATGAAGTTCCATCGGGCATTTACAAAGTTGTCACATATGTTAAAGAGCGTTATGGAAACCCCGAAATAATTCTCTCAGAAAATGGTAAAATTGAAGTTTTATTTCTCCACTGTTTGATCTTTGTAAACCACGCAAAGTTGTTCATTTGTTTGGTTGATTAATTGCAGGAATGGATGACCCTGGCAATGTTCCATTTCCTGAAGCTTTGTTTGATACAAATAGAGTGAACTACTATACAACCTACTTGAAGGAATTGAAGAGAGCTATGGATGATGGAGCCAATGTCACTGGCTACTTTGCTTGGTCAATGCTTGACAACTTTGAATGGTTGTTAGGTTATACCTCAAGATTTGGCTTGATTTATGTTGATTACAATGATCTCAAGAGATACCCAAAGATGTCAGCATATTGGTTCAGGCAGATGCTTCAAAGAAAAATAGCTTAGGTTTATTTCTTAGGTTTTTAGGCTTTTTTTATGTTTCTTAGTGCTTTTGTTTTTAGTTCTTCTGGTGTTCACAACTTCTTAATTTCATATTCTAGAGTTTCAATAATAAAATTATTGTGAGCCAAATTATTGCTGAAGCGTATGGGTTTTTTTCTTCCTTCTTCCTCTTCTCTTTTTTGTTGCCACATTGCGTAGCTATATGGTTTGAGCAGCTTTTTCCATTGCAATTGAAGAACATAGCTCACCTCTTTTATCGAATGTTCATCTTTGTTTCAAAAATCGTGGCTTGAACTCATTGAGATTTTGTAAACAGAATTCTTGTACCAAGGATACAAGGGTATTCGCAAGTACATAAACTGATGACTTTGACAAAATTATCCGCAAGCAGAAAACAATTTTAACTAATTATTAGTATTACGTACCTTGTTGAGAGAGAGGCAAGAGTTCTGCAACTGAACTTTTCAAGGCGATCATGAGTCTTTCTTGCACAATCAACCGCATCGATCTGCATAAACGGTGACATATCAACTGAACACCGCAATTTGCAAGAGTATCAGTCATCTTTATTGGTGAACCACAAACGGATATCTTTCTACAAGCTGAAGAATTCTTCATATAATGATGCCCTTCAAGTAGATTCTTCACTTCTTTCTCCTCCATCGTCGAAATTATTTTCTTGCTATCAAGCACTGATATTTGAAATGTTGTTCTTTCTTTTTATCCAAATCCTTTGATGTTTTCCTGACCTTCTCTTTTAATGATTCTTTGGCTGTTTTATGAGGCAGGTAGTTTGCTTTGATGAGTGAAAACCAGGAGGAATCAGCATCAGCTGACAATGTCATGGCCTTGGCTTGTAAATGAATGTCTCTACTAGGTGAGCCATGTTATCTAATTGGTGGTGTTGTTGGGACAAGGCAAGGAAAGAGAGAAGGGGGTGTTCCTGGGGCTGCATGTAATGGGAGTTGTGGCTTTTGAGGGGTGGGGTTCAGGGGCTTGTGGACTGTGGTGGTGGGTTCACATGATTAGTACACCTCGCATATGTGTGATTATGATGAGCTAGGGCCATTTATCCTCTAGCATTCCCCGTAGTTGGTGATGTGTGATTGTGTTGACCGTTGACTTGACCTATTCCTCCATGGAAGGGCCAGGCCTCGATATTAACCAGTGGGTCCTTCAGAAATGGCAACGGAAGTTGGGTTTCAGCCGAACTTCAAA